AGACCGGGATCTCCGTGTCTGTGCGCCCGTCTCCCTGCGATGCAGACTCCTCCCACACACACGCCGGCCGGTTTCACCGACTCCTACCCCAAAACTGCCCCCAACTGTGAGCGTGGCGGAGGTGCAGACAGCGCCCCCGAACCCCCGACTCCACCCGACACAAATCCCTCAGAGCCGAGGCGTGCCGCACCCCGTACCCTCTGCGAGGGGACGCCGGGGATCAGAGCACGGGAAGTCTCCAACAGTCACTGACTCCGCCCCCCCCCCTGTGACCTCACATTGTTTACACAGCTGATCACCAGCGATTGTCACTTCCCCATTTCCCGGGTAAAGTTCAGCGGAACCCGGCGCTGCCAGGAAGAAAAGGGGGAACTCCGACAGCGCAGACCGCGCCGCCTATCCGTGCTGACTCTTAAAGGGGAACTCCCGTTCTGCATGGTGCATGGAAGGGTCAGAGTCCCCGCTGGGGAGATTCGCCCTCCCTACATGTCCTGGTGTCACCGAGACAGAAAAGTGACAGTTGTCACCGGAATATATGAAGCGAGGGTAATCTTCCTATGGTGACAACTAGGAGATTTCCCCTCACTTCCTGTTTGTGTCTCTGGGACAGGAAGTGAGGGGAAATCCACCGGACGGTGACCTGGATTTTCTCTGCTGCAGTTCAGTAACAATGACAGGTCTGTCTCCGCCCCCAGCCTGGGAGAAGAGTTACATTGTATCATGTTCAGTAATGATGCAATGTATCTGATGACAGGTCTTGCTCCGCCCCCCAGCCTGGGAGGTCATGGTCAGTCATGTGACCTCTGGCAGAAGTGTTACATTGTATCTGATGACAGGTCTTGACCTCCCAGGCTGGGGGCGGAGCATGGTCAGGGGGAGTCATGTGACCTCTGGGAGAAGTGTTACATTGTATCTGATGACAGGTCTTGCTCCGCCCCCCAGCCTGGGAGGTCATGGTTAGTCATGTGACCTCTGGCAGAAGTGTTACACTGTATCTGATGACAGGTCTTGCTCCGCCCCCCAGCCTGGGAGGTCATGGTTAGTCATGTGACCTCTGGCAGAAGTGTTACACTGTATCTGATGACAGGTCTTGCTCCGCCCCCCAGCCTGGGAGGTCATGGTCAGTCATGTGACCTCTGGCAGAAGTGTTCCGATGACAGGTCCTCTTTATAGGACACACAGGGAGCTGATTTATGAACCTTCCGCCATTTGCACAGCGTGACCACCAGATGACGCCGAGGAGCACCCGGGACATTTATAAATCAGTGTATGACCCCCCCAGGCCCCTCCCCCAGGCC